CTAGAAGTTTAAATTTAGGATTTAAATTTAGGATTGTGAGTGATTGTGGGTGCAAGTATGTACCTTAAGCTCTAGACCAACAATCAGGGTTAACCCTAAGGTCCAACAGTCCTAAGGTAACTCATTCTGAGTTCCCCCATAATGACCCCACCTACTAAGTGCTAGAGGTTATGACCAATATGTGAAACCTCAAATTGAGTAAAGAAGAGTTTGGAATTTCTAATGGTGAGGGTTCCTTTTCTAGTTTTCTAAGAATTAGTCAATAGGAAAGTCCTATGGCTAGACCTTAGGTTACTAAAGAGGAAAAACTAAACCTCAACCAAAAGTGAGGTCAATAGGTGACTTCGGTTATCTAAGATGTAATTAACTATAAGGGTTGTGCCGTTATAGTAAACTTTAAGAACTTAGCTTAATATAAACTATATTTAATTTTTTACATTAAATAGGGGAACTTGTCAATCAACATAAAAAATGGGTTTTCGCAAACTTAAACTAATGTTATAAATTCTTTAGTTTATTTAATCAAGCCCTCACCAGTAAGTGGTGTATTTTTTTCTTCGTGATGGATTTATTGCTTGCGGTGTTAGGCTCGTTTTTTTAAACTACTGAGGACATGAGATCGGTTTCGTCTTGTATTTTCAAAATTTAAAATACAACTTTTTCCAAGTTATATATATATATATATATATATATATATTAAATTAAACTTCTTTTAAATGGGGCGTCGGGATGTCCATTGTGACGACCGACAATTTTCAATTTAGCGACCGATAATGAGCCAATGTCTTAAACTTTCTTATGCCATCATAACACATTATTTTGCCTATATATATTAATTTTTTTGTTTTTTTTTCTTTGTTTTTTCAGTGTATTGTTTAGGTTTTATATAACTTGTAGTAGGATTTTATAATAAAAATTCTTTTTATAACCTTGAATATATTGATTACAGAATTAACATTGTTTTATAAAAGATATTTGTTAAAATTAGAGCACCTTTGATCAACTTTTAATTTTAACATGTTTTCTATCTATCTTCTATATGAGGTACATAATAGAAATTGTGAATAATATAAACCCTTTTAACAATGGTGCATTTTTATAATATGGCCAATTTCACGTACATATATAAGTTTTCTTCACCTGAAGTTAGATAATATGTATTCTATATCTTTTTCTTTAACAAATAGATTATAACATATGCATGCTTTGAATTACCACGTCAATAGATCTTCACAAGCTTGGAAGTGATCGTCTTGAGCTAAATATGATTGTGAGTCAAGTTAAGTAACTTAAGTATGTATAAGTAGGCTATCTCATTCTCCTCTTTTGCTCTCATTGTTTTTTACTACTATGAACTATAATACCTAACAATATTAAAATCAATCACCTATAAATTTCTATTAATAAGTCTTGTTCTTTATACTCAATCTAAAATCATGAGACTGGTTTTGGATGATATAATTTACAATAGATGACAAAAAATCTTATGAGTAAGTTGGGACAATTTTATTAGCAACGAAGCTTTAGCTTAATTATCTAAAATAATGGATTCATGAAATCATGACTAAGTTATTTGAATCATTTTATCTTTACATTATACATATATCAATCACCCTTTTAAAATTTATTACCTTTTGGTAATTTAGTGATTTAATGTGGAAAAATAATTGCATCGCTTGGATACAATTATTCAATCTATGTCTTCAAGACAAACTATTTCAAAACATATCTTATTCTAATGGGATAACATTCCTTAAGTCATAGTTTCTTAATGTTAAGTTAAAAAATTTAAATACAAGTATGTCATCAGTAGTCAAGAACATTTTCTTCGAGATGTGCTTGAATGATTGTACCTTGACTATTTACTTGACCCTGGCGATTTGAATTACATGAATATTTCACATTAATTTTACTAAATTTATTAGCAGCCTCTTTCCTTATCTTCTCTTACACAATCTTTTATATAAGAGAAAAAATGTTATACCATCGCTCGTATATGTCAATAGCATAAGCAAGAATAAATTATCCTTCAAATAAGCTTTATTAAAGTGGGTTCAATTAATGCACATTCTTTGAGTCTCATTATCTATTTGAAAATAATGATAGTTTTCAATTGGTTGGATAACAGACTTGACAGATGAATTCAAGTTTTACATGTTTATTTATTTTTTGTTTATTTACTCAATAATGTATAAAACAGGAAATTTAAAGCAAGAAATTACTACTTTTAAATGATTGACCTGATTATCAAATCCGATTAAAGAGAGAGTATGAACATATCATAGCCAATTCTAGGCATCTCTATTCCCTTCTAATAAATCGTTGACTTGAATGCCATATCAATTTGAGGAGGTGTACAATTTTCTCATGGTTAATTGTAGGTATATCTATCAAACTACAAATGAGGTTCACATACTCATGTCTTTCTTAATTAAAGAGTATAACAACATATATTATTTGGAAAGGATCTGTCTTTAATAATAAAATATTAACTAATCCATCATAAGAGAATCTCATTAGAGGGTTCTTCATCCCTAATATGAAAGTTATAAATGTTGAGGGTTACAAATGAGTGTGCCTAATTCTATTTAAGAAAACAAGATTTTATTATTTATTAGGTTTCCTTCACAACAATTGAGCCTAACTAGGGTTAAGACTTCTCTGTTAGATTTGGAATGAATGTAACAACAATGAAGAAAGGCTAAATGTTATTTCAAAAATGACATTATTGGTTGATTCTAATTTGACTTCAACAAACTATCATGCATGTTATCTATTGAGAAAATCGTGTGAGAGAAATTGGGATGGAGATAGTTCCTTCCATAAAACTTGGCAATTGTTAGCTTATATAGTAGTCCTATGATCAACTAAAGACTTACTAACAAACCCTAGGCTAAGAAACATATAGAAAAGTGAAATTCTAGTAGGACTTCAATTTTTCATCTCAAGATCTTGTAGATATTATAAGATGGATCGCCAATACTATGATTTATAATGATTGAGTTATGTCATAAAATATAGACCCTTTTAGATCATAATCATCAAATATAATAAAGAAAATAACATAATATTTCATCAATAATAAATTCTCATTTGATTTGTGTCGGTAGATGGTGTATCAAATCTTAATAATCTTAAGGCAGACAAAAATCATTATGCATCAATGAATTCAAAAGATAAAATCATATAAGAACTTAAATATCTTACTTTGAGATTAAGGATCTTACATCGAGAATCCTTCGCCCTGTGAACACAATCCTCTAAGGATGTGTTTGAGGCACCTTTATTGGTAGGATTGCATCGATTTAAGTAATTATTATTATTTATTTTTCCTTATGGCCTATCCTTATATGTTTTGTGAATTGTTTGCCCTGTCGAAAATGATGATTTGAACTTGTTTTGGTCGAGAGAACTCCTGAACTATAGGATGAAAAAGTCCGGGCACGGCCAACAAACAGCCAGATGGCTCATTATCCCACTGGCCACCCCGATTCCTATAAACAGCGCCATTGCGGGCTGAAAACACCCAACGAAACATTGCAAGAAAGAGCTCTCGATGGGTACCAGCACTGCTCCCAATCGCGTCCCACTCACGACTACTGCAAAGCAAAACTTACTTAATCGCTCTCGCCGCCCTCCACTCTATGATTCGCCGGAGGAAATGGCTCTGCCGATAAAGGTTAATCTTCTTTTCCCATCTATACTTTTGTTTTATTTCTTTTCTTAAACCATATTCTTTTGCATCATCGATTCAGATAGAGGATTAGTGTTTTGCTGCTGAATCCTCTATTAGTCTCCTCTTCATTCCACAAAGATTTTATAGGAACTTATGAAAACCAGCTTGTCTTCTGCAGAAAAGGAAATTGTGCTTGACTGAAAATGCAGTATGTAATGAGAAAGAGTTGGAGAATTCGTTCTGCAAATTTGGGGACGATCAGAAGAAGGTTTTCTTTTAGTTGTTTTCCTCATCGCGTGCATTATTTGGTTGATAAGTTGCATCTTTGAAACTATGTCAAAATCCATTCATATGCTTTATTTTTATTTGTTCCGATATGCTGATTAATATAAGGTTCAGGTTCTTGAAGTAGCAGGAGGAAGATTGCAGGATGTGAGTGAGGCCTTTAATAATGCAAGTGATGTGACTTTTCGTGAAAAGAAAGATGTGAAAATTGAAGAAGTGAGAAATGAATTCTGAATCTTGTTTTTGGATTTCTTTACGCTGATGTGTAGAAGTGTGTGGGTGACATTTTTTTGTTCTTAGCTTGCTCCACCAAAAAGATGGTTTTGAAATCCAACTATTGATCTTGTACCTCTGCGCACATGAACACCTTGTCTGATTCTTCTGATGTTAAAATATCTTTGATGCATGCAATTATCTCACGATAAATATTTTTTTCATTCTTGGCTTGGATAACATCGAAAAAAGGCTTTTTTATTCCTTGCTTGGATAACACCGAAAAGAGGTTTTATCTATCATTAAATAGATTTTTTGAACCGACTGTTGAAGGATCTATTATAGAAACCTATCATCCATTGTCCACTCACTTAGAAAACTGAAAATAATAATGCACCATGGAAGGTAGTGACTCACTATCTATTGTGTGTGTTTCATGCTTAGCTTGATGTAAACATTTTACATCATTAATTTATAATGAAGTTTAAATGGAATTTGCTCTAATACGAGGTATCTTTTTATCTATAGTGGATTCAATTTTTTTCTATAATGGATTCAGGTGTCATATTGTATTTGCATTCATCTCATATTAATGAAATCGGTAGAATATTCAACTTGTTAGGAGGGTGGATAACTGAGGTCCTAAGTTATATCTTATATACTAGTGCAGCTAATGGGTGAACGTCACTACTAGGATATTAAGAACTCAAATCTTATTTTTACTCTTGATTTGGGACCAAATTCATTCTCATATTACCTTAACAATATCTTGTTATCATTAACCCTCAAATGCTAGATTTGTAATGCCATCAAATTTCATTAAGCAAGATCCAACTCAACTTCATGGAGCCCTCGTTAGATTCACTTGCTCTTGAATGTTATTCGATCATGATTGAATTCATCAAAATCTATGAGTTGCGAACTTTGTTTGATGCTTGATCCCAACTAGACGACAGGATCCGGGAATTTTTCTAGGGGCCCAAGTAAAATCCAATATATTTTTTAGTGGACAATTATCAACCTCAAAACTCTAATCAATGGAAAACTGGACTTATATTTTTGTCGTGACATTATTTCCACTCTCTTGTTTAACTCAACACAACTTTTGCAGAATGAATTATAATAAAAGTGACCAAATGTGGCATTGAAAAGATTTATCTTGTTAATTTTGTAAGTTTCATTGTGTATTAAAATCCATTCTCATGCAATAGTATGTTCATCAGTTGATCGGAAATTTTCAAATGTAGCGTTCATGTATTGAAATTATGTGGCATCTAAGTCAATCGACATGTTACTCAAATCTTGAAGATTTTCAAAATATCTACTTGTATACATTCATGCCCTTCTGCTGCCTCTTGCCATTGTTTTCCTTTTCTTACTTAGGATCTTTGTTTGATTTTCTTAATCTTCTTTATTTGTTTTCTCATTTCTTTTCTTGTAGTTCTCAGATTTACAATCAGATATAGATTTTTAAACTTCCCCACTAAATTGTAAAATTTCCTCTTTATTTAGTGTTATAATTTTGTTGTGTGTTTGATACAGTTGTTTGAATCTTATAGGTTTGGTGTGATCATAAGAAAGAAACCAGATGCAATCTGCAAACTTGTTGTAGCTATATAGAGAAAGTTAAAGAAGATAAGGCTAACCAGCCCTCCTCTTTATCAAAGATGAACAATCTTAAAGGTTTGTATATGCTATATTTTTTTTTCTCAAATCCTATAAAAAAATCTGTAGAATATGTAGGCCATGCATGGCAAATTATTTCTCTCATGAAAGCATCTGTAAGAATGCAAGTCATGTCATTTCTGATAATTTTAAAAAGAAGGAAGTAATATTTTCTATTTTTAGTGAATCTCTTGGGAACTCTCAATAATAATAAACTTTGATATTTTTGTTCTACACAAGGTTGTCTTGGCTTTTATATGAATAATGATTTATAAAATTATGAGTTTTAGTACGTTGTCGGGGCTAATTTTTCAAAATATCTACTTGTATACATTCATGCACTTTTGCTGCCTCTTGCCATTGTTTTCCTTTTTTTACTTAGGTTCTTTGTTTGATTTTCTTAATTGATTTTCTTAATCTTCTTTATTTGTTTTCTCATTTCTTTTCTTGTAGTTCTTAAACTTACAATCAGATATAGATTTTTAAACTTCACCACTAGATTGTAAAATTTCCTCTTTATTTAGTGTTATAATTTTGTTGTGTGTTTGATACAGTTGTTTGAATCTTATAGGTTTGGTGTGATCATAAGAAAGAAACCAGATGCAATCTGCAAACTTGTTGTTCCTGAGTACTTCAAGGATAGACCAAAGTTGTCAAACAACCACTCCTTATTAAAGATGAAAAATCTTAGAGGTTTGTATATGCTACATTATTTTTTTCTCAAATCATACAAAAAGATTTGTAGGCCATGCATGACAAATTAATTCGCTCATGAAATTTCTTTGTAAAAATGCAAGTCATGTTATTTCTGATAACTTCAAAAAGGAGGTAATATTTTCTATTTTTAGTGAATCTCTTGGAAACTCTCAATAATAATATGTGTTGGTATTTTGGTTCAATACAAGGCTTTCTTGGCTTTTATATGAATAACAATTTCTAAAATTAAGAGTATAGTTAGGTTGTCGGGGATAAATATTTGGAAACTTGTGGTAAGATTAATGATGATGGATTTCAGTTGGGTTTTGCTCGGTTGAATAAAAATGCTTTCTATCCAAGCCTAATCTTAAAATAGATTTTGCTACAATTGACAATGTAACACCCGCAAGCCTTAATACTCATCCTATTCTTGTGAAAGTTTTAAGAAGGTTAAATTAATGAAGTTCATGCCCAATTATTTATAACTAGAGAAACTAAGGATAATTCCAACTACGAAATGAGAAAATTCTTACAAGATTTTTGTTAACAACTTAATTATGTAGTCGTCCCA